TGGAGGTCCAAGTTCACGTGACGATAAGCCATGGGGAGAAGTTCTCACGTGTCCATTCACCCTCAGCTGTGTGGGTTCAGTCCGTTACTTCACGTGGTTTTGAGGTGTGTACACGTGAGTCAGGCATAGGATCAAATGGAACAGGAATTGTCAACTGGTTGGCTTTCCAAGATCATCCACAAATGACGCATGGTAGCAATACTTTTAGTGGAATATGGACAACAGAAACGAAATGCGACAAGATCACTTTCTCTCAGGTTAGATGAAATAGTAAGGCTGAAAAGAAAAGACTGCACTTGTTTTGTTTTAAATCACCTTCTAGGTAGGTTTTTGGCCCAAGTGGTCCAACAAAAACATTATATAAAAACTAGAGTAAAAATAACACTTGGTGTCAGATTGGAGTTTGTTTTTTACTTAAGACTTCAAGCAGGTTCAATTTGCAGTTAATGTAAGTTGCGAAAGGTGTTCTTTTGTTCCGTTTGAAAGTTGTTTTCACATGATTCTTATCGGCCTAAACTTACAAGGACAAGGTCAACTGGTGTAATGGATCAGGGTTATCAGTCTTGCTTACGCAAAGCTAGCTTGACATGTTAATCAACATTTCAATTGATTTGTTTTTACAGACAAAGGTATGTTTATGTATCAAAGTACGAAACAAAATGTTCGAGTTAATAAGTAAAACAAATGCTCCAGTTTGGCAAAACTATGTCAGGGCCAAATATCCGCGTTTAAAATATACTTTAACGGGGTTTATTGTGTTGTACAAAGAAACCAGTTTTAACTTTTAATATCTGAAGTCTCTCATTATAAACTTGACACACTCTAGAGCTTTGTTGGAACACCTCACGTGTTTGTGTCAGCAAAATACACACGAGACACAAAGCCAGATGACGCCATGTATGTTTGGTTAGAAAATGTCAGTTCCGGAAGTTTCGAGGTTTGCATCCGGGAATTCTTGCCATTTGAAGGGAGACATCAAGACACAGTTGTGGTAGGTTTATTTGACACTGCCTTTCGTATCACGCTTCTCGCAACTTGAAAATTGCAACACACAACTCGAAACTCGAACCTCCAAACCCAAAAACTCAAACCGCACCGCTCGTAACTCAGTAGTCGGAGCTCAAAGCAAGAGCAACACGTAAGATGAAAACTTCAGACAAACTGTCTCACACTCGTTTATTTTACACGCAGGACTGGTTTGCATTCACTGGTAATGGTTCTGATTTCAACTTTTCGAGGGCAGGTGAAATGAATTTTCGAAATAGTGGCATCCCTAAAGCTGAAAATAATTATGGTTTCTGCCAGGTGAGTGATGCAGGTTCTGTTCCAATTTTTTAAAATTTTACTTCAATTTAATCTTTATCATCGGAGACTCGAATGACTTGGCTGTTTTCCCCGTGCAGAAACTCTTTTCACCCTTTGATGAAGGATCGAAGTTTATGCGCGCAGGGCGCGTAAGCGGAGCCCCATAGTTTAAAAGTTAATATGATAACCTATCTAGCCAAAAAAATGAGTTGTCATATTGAGATAGCCTCTTTCTGTACGCAAAACTGTTCTTTGCGTGTGTGGGTGTTTAGACTTGACCAAATCTATATAAAAGAAGAGGGCTGGAAGCTTTCCAAGCAACAAGTACTACCTTGTTCTACCTTTTGCCGAAAGTTTCATCTCTTCCATCCTGGGATCCCTCTTGAAGATTATGCTACATTACTGATCTTCTTTCCTCCGCAGAAAGTGAACTTTAACACCACCTTTTACGCATCACCAATCGTCCTTATTTCTGTGCGTCATTTTTACAACCCTCAAGTCAGCGGGAAGAGTTCCATTTCCCCAGAAAATAATATTGTTACAGCATGGGTCGAGGTAGGCTCGTTATTTGGAGCTGAACTAATGATAAAATACGGCAAACATTTTTTGTTTTACCATACTAGAAAATTAGGATCGCATAAGAGTAGATGATTTTATCTTTCCTCTCCACCATTTCGTTTTTATTAGGCTGATTCACGGTGACTTTTCAGTTTCTGAATGTGGTGGGAGATATCACATAATCTTTGACTTAAATACAACACGCCTATATAAGTGTCCCAAAAATCATACGGTGTACATGAAGCTTATTTACAAAATGTTCACCTTTACAGGAAGTCGGACTAACATCGATGACGATTTGTGTTAAAGACTTAAGCGGAGCCGGGAGCAAACATGATCCACTTTCCGTGAGCTATATAGTGATTGGAGGTTGGTACTTCAGCTAAAACTATCATCTACGTTCAATCTATGTTATATCTTACAGTAAAACAAGCTATAACAAGTCTTTTTTCTTACTTAAAACAGATTTTTCCCATGCTTCCTTCCGTACAAGA